TGTAGCCAAAGATGCCTTTAAAACATAAGTCTGGTCACATCCTAATGTCTCAAAATGCTTCAGCTAGCTTTCCATCTAAAGTATTCTCAATGCTCTACATGATCTGGCACTTTACCATTTTCCTAGGTCCATCTCATAATAGACAGCTGTCCACTCTGCTCCAGCCACACTCCCTTTCTTGCTCTTCCTCAACTTTACCAAGAGAAGTCCATATAATGGCTTTGCATTTACAGTAGTCTTTGTCAGAGACACTGTTCTAAGGTTGCTGCATGGATATTTCTTTACTTCATTTAGGTCTCTACCTCAATTTCTTTCTTTCTTTCTTTCTTTCTTTCTTTCTTTCTTTCTTTCTTTCTTTCTTTCTTTCTTTCTTTCTTTCTTTCTTTCTTTCTTCTTTCTCTCTCTCTCTCTCTCTCTCTCTCTTTCTCTCTTTATTTCTCTCTTTCTTTTCTTTTTTCTTAGAAAGCCTTTCTCTTACCATATATGCTCTTTATCCCTTATCCTGCTTTATTTTTGTACTTTATAGCACTTATCTTACTTGTTTATTGTCAGACGCCTCCCCTTTGCAGGCCAACAGTGTAAGATCTACGTGGACAACAACTTGATCACTTCTGTTCAGTGCCTTCTACTCTAGAGTCCAAGAATACCTGGAACATCGTAGGTGCTTTGATATTTGAATTAATTAATAAATCAAGAATTTGGAGCTCAGTTTTAGAGGGTGAATGAAAGTCTTGGTTATGGAACTGCTGGCTCCCCTGAACCAAACAAGTCATGCGCATGTGTCCATTATCATTACTCACTATCTTCACTACCTATTTTTCAAGCTCTGTTGAATTTCTTTAAATTATTCTCAGCACTGCCACAAGCAGCTCTTGTCAAAACTACAAATGACTAAAGTAAGACTCCTGGCATATAAAACAAATTCAGGAGAGGCAGCAAAAATAACAGTGACCCAAGGCAACTAATGTCTTTGGCAACTATCCACAGAAGATCAGCAAGGAGCCATGCATACCCATATGCAATATTAGCCCATATTTCTCCTTCCAAGAAGAGGAAATGCATTCACACAAAGCAAATGAAGTGGAAAAAGGGGCTGACAATGAGTTATAAATTAAATTAGTGTCATTCTTATTGCTTTATGTTTGCATAGAAAAAAGTTGTTAAGCTGGAGCTAAACAAAGTCATTGTAGGTGTTTTTTAAGAAAATATTAGAAGTCTGGATTTCACTCTCAGATCTTTTCCAGAGATCATATATATGCCTATAATCATCTCCTTTTCTAAACCTAAATCTGTAACATACAATGTGAAACACACTAATTTACTTACGGAGACACCAGGACAAAATGTAAAAATTGGTACAGGTTTAGAAAATACAGGATAGGAAATGCCTGGGTGGCTCCGTCAGTTGAGCGACTGACTCGATTTTGGCTCAGATCATGATCTCAGGTTTGTGGGACTGAACCCCTGTTGGGATCCATGTAGAGCACGGAGCCTGGTTAAGATTCTCTCTCTCTCTCTCTCTCTCTCTCTCTGTCTCTCTCTCTCTCTTTCCCTCTCTCTCTCTCCCCTTGTTCGTGCTCTCTCTCTGTCTCTTAAAAAAAAAGGCAGGATATAAAAGTACAGTATACGTTCCACTTAAATAGCACCAGGGATATTAAGTGGATAAATGATCAGAAAAAAGAACCAGCAGATGCAGTCTAGAAGGAAGATACATGGTGAGAAATAAGACAGCTGAAGAGCAGAACATCATAAGTGACATATTCAGCTTCAGGGGTAGGCTATAATGAACATAAATGGTTTGAATCTTGCAGCACAATGGAGTGAATATTCACTACCTCAGATAAATCCTCAAGGGAAGATAGTAATAGAAATAAAGGTTAACCAGAAGAGTTGGGCTTCTTTGCCTTACACCCAACTAACTTTAGATTATGCAGTCTTGATACCATATAAAATGTAACCAATCAAAGGATCACTTTCAACCAATGCCATGTGTACCACTAGAACATATATATCTGCCAAACTCAACTTATTGATGCTCAATAGCACATTCGACCTCATCACCTTTTTTAGAGTTGTGCTCTGCATGCAAGGTTGTGATTTTTCTATCTAAAACCTCTCTCCTTGTATCTCTATCTCTGTCTCTCTCTCTCCATCTCATATGCATATGTACACACACTAGAAGTCAACAAAGGAAAATGGAGGTTAGAGGTTGGAGGATAACACATACCATACATGACATCATTAATGGATGATTAAAGGAATGATTTAGCTTCAGTTGAAAATGAAATATATAGGGGTGCCTGGGTGGCTCAGTCTGTTGAGCATCTGACTCTTGATTTTGGCTCAGGCCATGGTCTCACAGTTGGTGAGTCTGAGCCCCATACTGGGGCTGACTCTGACAGTGTGGAGCCTGCTTGGGATTCTCTTTCTGCCCCCTCTCTCTGTCCTTCCTCTGATCTCTGTCTGTCTGTCTCTCTCAAAATAAATAAATAAACTTAAAAAAAGGAAGAAAATGAAATGAATATTGTAGGATCTTCAAAATTTGAGATTAAAAAGCCCAAACTCTCCACTTAATATATGAAGACTTGGGGAAAAGTTAAATAAAACATACAAAGTTAGTGAAAAGGCTAGGATGAAACCCAGATTTCCTAGCCCTGTGGGTTATTCCTTTCATTTCACTAGTTCTTGGCCTTGGCATCTTTATTATTATGGGTCATTTTACAACGAAACAAAGCACAACCAACAAACTCCCCTTTGACGGAACAGATATCTGAAATAAGTATTTATTGGTAGGTTTTTTGTGGTTGTTTTCAGAACATACCAGAAAAGTTTATTTCAGAATATTTTAAGGACTGAATTCTTTGAATACTGAGGAGTAACCATTCACTAGGCTTCTTAGAGTCTGCCCCTACACTGTCCAGAGTTGGGTGGTGATCTTAAAGATCATGGAGTGAGAAAAAAAGGTGTGAAAAGTGTGTGTTTCAGGGTCTGGGCATTTGCTTCAGGGTTATAACTTTACATGTTATTATTTCCTTAAGGAATGAAAACACCACTTTGGTTTCGTAGAGTCTATGTTACAATTTATCATCACTGGAGACAATTTTTCTCCTTATTTGTATGGAATATATCTACATGATACAGAATTTTCCTGATAAATCTTTCCATTACCTACTTAGATAGGTATCTAATGTGCCATTTTGAATGAGCCCTGTTGCATTTGTGAATCATGCTGAATGATTCTTATGAATTTTATATTATTTCAAGTCAAGAGACTAAGCTCCAAAAGCATAACAAGTATTAAATGGTTCAAATCTAGCCTCATCCTTATCACTGGTACAAAAACAAATTTTAATATAGTGTTTTGGGAAAAAGAAAAACACTTTTGTTAACATGATGAACAAGCATTTAAAGATGATACGCAAAATCCAGGATGACTTTTAATTTCTTGAAGCTAAGGGCTGTTCCCTATTTATCATTGAACCCAGTACACTTAAAGCTTGATGACATTTACAAAGCTTTTGCTGTATGCACTAAGCTTTAGGTGCATTCTACAATCATTTGAAAGGGATACAATTATTACCCTTATTTTATATAAGAATAACCTGAGACTTACTTACCAGAATTAACTTACTAGGGCCACAATGAACTTGGGTTTCTAGAGAAAGAAGTTTGATCCCGGCACCTACAGTAAAAACCTGTTTTGCAGTGTTTTCAAAAATGTTAAAGTGAGGGGCAGCTGGGTGGCTCAGTTGGTTAAGCGTCCAACTTTGGCTCAGGTCATGATCTCATGGTTCATGGGTTTGAGCCCCACGTCGGGCTCTGTGCTGACAGCTAGCTCAGAGCCTGAAGCCTGCTTCAGATTCTGTATCTTCCTCTCTTTCTGACTCTCCCCTGCTCATGCTATCTCTCTCTCTCTCTCTCTCTCTCTCTCTCTCTCTCAGAAATACATAAAACATTAAAAAAATTTTTAAAAAAATGTTAAAGTGAAAACAAAAAGGGCCTGGTAACCTAGAAGACCTTTTGGCCACATAACTGTGGGTTTTTTATTTAATAATAAAACTGTGATTCAAAGCTGATTTTAACATGAGGAGTGAAAAGCAATTACTTTACAGCTGAAGACTTTTCTGTTCATGCCAGTTCACCACGTAGACGCCAGTATTAGAGCTCATTCTCCAAATCACTGTGTGTAGGGAATTATATCATATCTGACATAACCCTTTTGTAGTACCACAGATATTATCATTATCACAGCTTTTCTGATACATTTGATCAGTCTTGTTGCCAAGCCATCACTCACATTTCTTCCCAGACTTGATCTTTTTTTGTAAGAACACACACACACACACACACACACACACACTCATAAAGCATTTTTGAGACATTTATGTATGTCTGGGAGAAAAGTTATAAGAAGGAATAACCTTGACTGGAGATGCTCATTATTTTTACCAGAGAGGAAAGAAATTAGGGGAGACATCTTTCAGCGGCGGTAGGAAGGTTTAGCTAATATGGAGGTAACTAAATGGGTATGTTTTCTGAAAAAAACTTTGAAATGAATTAATAAACAAAGATTAATGAAGACTTTTTTTGAGATTAGAACATATCAGTGGTTCTTCGAATTTTCATCCTATGCTATTCACTCTTCACCATCATCAACCTGAAGATGCCCATGAACATGAACCACAAGTTTTTTCAGATGAAGTTTTGGATTTCCTTAGCTCTGTACTCCATCATCCCTGACCTATAATTTTTGAAGAAGCAGAAAAGAGAATTCCAATATTGTGTCATTTAAAAATATCTGACAGCATAAAATTCCCCAATGTAAATGGGAAGATGGCTTGGGCAGCCTAAAATTTCCGAAAGACCCAGTAAGGTGACACAGACACCACCCCAAGGAAGATTTTACACATCACACAGACACATCAGTGCAAAGCCAAAACAGATTTCTGCCTGAGAATTCAAGAAATAGACTACCTTGCCCCATATCGGTAAGAATCCGATTACCACAAGGATGGATAGTTACCCATGGCGAAGAATGGGATTCCCAGCAGGGTGGAGTTGTACTTCCCATCGGTGATGAAGAAGATCCCTGCTGCCGTGATGATGGAGATGCACACGGTGAGCACCCCCAGGAGGCCCAGGAAGGGCTTGCTGCGCAAACAGTCCTTCATGGAGCTGGAGAGGGTGGCTGTGGTCAGGATCAGCACAAGGCTCACCAGGACCTTGCTCCTGGCCAGGATGCTGGTCTTATGAAAGTCTCTCCAGAGGCTAAAGGATGCTAAAGAGTAGAGCTGGAGGTCCTGGTGCTCCTCCTGGAGCTTCCTCATAAGCTTACAGAACTCATTCTCCCACTTCTCCCCTATGAGGTCCTGGGTAGCAGAGCCATAGGTCTGGAGGTAGTAGGTGATTTGAATGGCTCTGGCTGACTTGACCCGCTGGTCCTTGCTGTTTGGCACTTCCACTACCCCGCCCAGTTGGTGTCCAATAAAACTGTTCCTCCCATCCTTGAAAACAGAAAAAGGAGAGACTAAAGTTACCAGAGGGATGCACATTCCAGGCCACAGATTCTTACTCTAAGTGAAGGGACATGAAGGCAGAGGTAGGCTTGGGCAATCGCGGAGCTGATGTGGGTGGGGTGGCATGTTAGTATTTTATATTGAACCTTTTGGAGCGTCATGGGATCCCATGCAAGATGATCAGGATTAGAAAGATGCAAAGAGTATTATGAAGCTATACAAGACTCGCCACATGCATAGGAAAATGATCCGTCCCATCCCTACCCCCATTCCCATCATTTCCGTCTGTAGCAGTCTATCATAACTCCTTTATGCAAGATCAAGTCTTAGGATTCAGTTTCAGCCAAAAGTGAAGCATGGCATGAGTTAATGACATTTCCAAAATGGAAATAATAATTCACTTAATAAGTATACGGTAAGCTTTTCAGGGTTAATACGCACACCTACACCGACACACACAAACACGCATGAACATTACAAACATCTATACTCCGGGGGTCCTGGGGGTACAACTGTGAACTGCACAACAAATGGAAGATACCCTTTGTTTTGTTTTGACAATCAATAAAATAGTGTTGAAATGTTTTCTAAATATGAGGAAAGAGCCTGTTCACTCATTACGATGTTCCTTCCAAACACCTACCTCAGTCATAGGTTGACCTTTCCCCCATAGAACACAATGGACAACACCCCTCCCCCCAAAGGAAGGTTTTTAGGTGGGGTTGTCAAAATTCATTGTGATTTTAGAGTTTTGCATGAAGTAGAGCAGACAAGGTCACAGGACTAGGATATTTATACGAGAAGTGATCACTCCTCTTTAAGGTACAAGTAAGGTAGATACTGAGTTGTTTATTTACTTATTTTTTAAGTGTATTTATTTATTTTGAGAGATAGAGAGTGGGGGCTGGGGCAGAAAGAGAGGGAGACACAGAGAATCCCCAACAGGCTCAGCACTGTCAGTGTGGAGCCCTATGCGGGGTCCAGCTCATGAACTATGAGATCAAGACCTGAGCCAAGATCAAGAGTCAGATGCTTAACCGATTGAGCCACCCCGGCACCGCAGATATGGAGTTGTTTAATTCACAGCAGTAATTGTCAACCAGCATGCCTTAACACTCAGAAAGAAATCCCTGATGGCCATCACCAAATTTAAATCTTCTTTTTGCCACAACTGTCATTTACTTCAGTGGCAATGGCTGTCAGATGCAATACTGAGCCCAATAGCAGATCGCTACATGGAACATGGCATTGAAAGTGTGCTGCAGGTACTACGTGAAATGCAGGCACAAAGGTAAATTAATGCCATAAGGAGAATTCCATTGCATTGAGACACTTATCTCATGAGGCTAGAAAAGCCTAGAGTCAGAGCAGGAAACAATTCTTTCTAGAAAGGTAGTGCAGAAGGGCAACAAACAGTCTGCGAACCGTGATTGTTATCACAGAATTGCAAGGCACTGTACATGCAAGCAGACACTTGTAACAGTTATTATGGATTCATTTAGTCAGACACCTAAATCCAGCATACTTGTTCCTATTTGTATTTTTAACAGGTACCAAAGTCACTAATACTTGAGAGTGTGTTGGGGACACAACAAGTTTGAGGAATTTACAGCAAGTGCAAATGCTGTTAGTGGTATCATTAAGAATTGAGGAAGAAATTTCATAGTCATTGCATGTACCCATTTTTCCCCTATATGGTAAGTAAAAGCAATTTTTCTTTTTAATACAACCTGACCAACTCTAAATGAACGGTATATTTCTAAATAAGAATTTGATTCGATGGGGTTTTTTTACCCTTTGCTTGGTAAATCTCTCACTTCCAAGGTATCTTTGCAAATTTTCCGTCTTTTATATATATATATATAAGTTTTTTTTTAAGTATATATATATGTATACTTAAAAAAAAAAAAAACCCTGAAATTCCGGCTGGAGTTTCCCAACACTCTCTTTGGAAACAATGTGGGCTTCCCTGATGAGCTGCAAGTGAAACAGTAGGAAAGCTTCAAAGAAGAAGTGGGCATCTTGTCCCAGCACTGAGAGCCTGGAATATGGTTTCCACTCTTTAAGGAATTCCCACTCTTGCTCTCAATTAGGCTTGTTTATTTTTGTTTTAAGCTTGGTATAATTTTTAGCTCCACCCTTGTTTCTGCTTCTTTGAGATCCTGCCTGTGATGTTGACATGTGCTTTTGATTATTTGAAAGAGAAAGTATTTTAAAAGCTATATTTATTCATTTAAGAATGTGCAGCTCCATCTGTCTTTACTCATTCTTGTCATCAAAAAGATTTCTCAGGGATCTTGAGCCATGGAACCAAGATTTATGCGTCCCTCAGGCCTCATTTGGAGATTATAGTGGATCAGAGAGGGCGCTGATAATGTGCTTGGACAAAAGTCAAAATTCTACAGAAGGCAAAATATAGATTTTTAAATAACTGACCTTTATTGAGTTTGGCTAACTGCTCACCCCCCCTTTTGAAGTTGTCTAATTTCCATTTCTTACAAAAATTACTTCATAAAAGATATGCTTTCATCCCATTATATTTAAATGGATGTAACTAATAGAATAGATTTCTCTTAATTTGTTCTACTCCATGCACCAGAACAAAATAAACAAGTCCTTAGATGTCCTTGAACAGAAAGCTGTGCTGAAAAGGTCCACAATTTGTACAAGCCATTGGCCCAATCATCCTACAGGGTCCTGAGAAGTCATCCGAATATTTCTCAGAACTATACTGAATATATTTTTGTAAGGTAAAATTGTACTATTTTGTAAGGGGTGGTAGAAGAGTTGGTCAGTTTCCCAACTTTACCAGTTCATCAGTGCTTCTATGCAGGAGAAACAAAGAATGAATAAAACATGTATTGTAATTATCCTCTGGGCAGAACTTCCCTGGACCTGGAAGGAGTCGGGGGGTTAGTGGCGAGAATGCCTTATCAGGAGTCCAGAGACCTGACTTGAAGCACGGGTCTCGCGCTAACTGGATCAGAAACCCTTGGCTGGTTCATTGCCCCTTGTAGGTTTCCATTTTCTCATCTCTAAATGAGCAGTTATAAATATATGAGTAAATGTTTACATAATGTTGAAGATAATTTTCAGCTCTATTATCCTATGAAAATATTACCTATAAAGTTAGATCTGAATGCCAGATATGATATCATTATAATAGAGCCATGAAGTAATTATTTTTATGGCATAACAAAATCTCACCAATCGCCAGGTAGGACATTTTTGTTTAATAAAGGAGCAAAATATAGAGGCTCAGTGAAGGCAGACCTGTTAGTCAAAGTGTTGAACCCAGGATTCCAAAGCAATACATCTGATTCCAAATTCAGAACTTTCTAGAATTCCATGGGGCTGATTGCAGGGAGGGCACTTTGGTTCCTTGTCCCCACTAATTGCTCTAATTTGTTTTTACATTTATTTGTTTTTGGGAGAGAAAGAGAGACAAAGCATGAGCAGGGGAAGGGCAGAGAGAGAGGGAGACACAGAATCTGAAACAGGCTCCAGGCTTTGAGCTGTCAGCACAGAGACCAATGCAGGACTCGAACTCACTAACCCAGAGATCATGACCTGAGCCAAAGTCTGATGTTTAATCGACAGAGCCACCCAGGCGCCCTCCCACTAACTACTCTTTATGATTAAAACCTGTTTTTTGTGTAGATCCCCCTTTTCCCAATATTTTACTCACCACTAAACCAACTGTCTACCATTTAACACCCATGTTGATTCAATTTTCTCCTTTCCCAGTAAAATCTCTTACACAAATTCTAAAATTCCTTTAACTACAGAAATCACACTTATTGTCTGCATGAAAATAAACCTTAAAAATATGACAAGATGGTGACACATCACTTTCAATGCTCTCCTGTTTCAGTGTTTCGCTGAATTTAACAGACATCATTAACAGGCGATGCACTGAGGTTCCTAACTCACATCCTTATGCCCACTTCTGCTCTTCCTCAGTCCATCTCTGCACAGTAAAGCCGGAGCCCACGTGCACAACTCTAAATGAGATCACACTGCTTATGCACTTATAATCTTCTGCTTGTCTCCACTTGCACTGGGAAGAAAATGAGAATTCCTTACCAGGTCTGCAAGGCCCTGCATGTCCTATTGCCAGCTGAGCCTCAGACCTTATCAGCCACCACTCTTCTCCCCACGAACTCTATTCCAGCCTTCCCGGCTTTCTTCCTACTCTTCGAACACACCCCCAATGTTCATAGCAGCACTCTCAACAATAGCCAAAATATGGAAAGACCCTAAGTGTCCATCCACGGATGAATGGATCAAGAAGATGTGGTATATCTATACAATGGAATACTACATGGCAATGAGAAAGAATGACATCTGGCCACGTGTAGCAACATGGATGGACCGTGAGGGTGTTATGCTGAGTGAAATAAGTCAGGCAGAGAAGGACAGATACCATATGTTTGCACATATAGGTGGATTAGGAGGAAGCTAACGGAGGACCATGGGGGAGAAGAAGGGGAAAAATAGTTGGGGAGAGGGAGGGAAACCATGAGAGACTCTTGAATGCTGAGAACTAACTGAAGGCTGATGGGGGTGGGGAAGAGGGGAAGGAGAGTGATGGGCATAGGGAAGAGCATTTGTTGTGATGAGCACTGGGTGTTATATGGAAACCAACTTGACAATAAACTATTTAAGAAAAAAAAAGTAACAATGTAAAGAATAAAAGGCACCTGAGGAATTAAAAAAAAATCAACTTAATTTTCACCACAGGGCCTTTGCACCTGCCATGCCCTCTGCCTGGAATGCCTTCCTCTACTCTTCTATGGCCAGGCTTCCTTCCTCATGGAGGCTTTACCTTTAAGGAGACCATTTGAACCATGTGCTCTAAACTAGACACCTCCTTCCTAGCCAACACTTTATGAGATACTCATATTTTGTCTTCTCCCTATAGAGGATTTCTATCTGAAGTGATCTTATTTAATCATTTAATTGCTCCTCCACTAGCAATGAAGTTT